AACACAGCCTGCCCGTCTGTAGTCACACGGTTGAGTTACTGTAACATTTGTCCAGTCTACTGAAAATCACACAGTGGCATTCAGAAAATGTCAAAGCGGCATGGCACAGAGCAATGAAGGTGAAATGGAAAACCCTAAACGTTACTCTCAGTTCAAGCCAAATATCTTGTGGTGTTTCTAAAGTATTTTCCCCAAACAATGAAAGTATTTTGTCTCCATTCACACCTGAATTGGTGTAGCTCTAAGTAGCTGCAGCATGAAAGCGAGGATTTGGTTATTTTAGCCATTTCAAGAGATTCCTCAAACCTTAAAGGCATGATGCTTGGAACTAAAATCCCCAGAGCTATGAGATTCCCAGGTGCCTGTACAATTTTTTTTTTCCCATACTCAAGGTATAACATAAAAAAACAAATAGAAAATCTCATATTAAGTGAATATCATTTTCTATTCAACTATAACAGTCACCAACATCTATACTTCATAGATAATATAAAGCACTGAGAATAAAACATGCATGTCATCGGATTCACTGTATTAGTATTCAGCTATCACCAGATACTAGATCATTTCATCAGAAAATGAGCCAGCTGCTGCAAGGAAAGTGCTGATTGCATGCCTATTATGTTGCGGCCGTTAGCATCACTTGCTGATCAACTCATTTTTGGACTGAGCTGAGAAAAGGTTTTGCCAACTGGATGAATAAATATACTGTATTTGCCATGTATTAGAAGCACATCTCCAATAAGAAACTCATTATAGTTATTTCAGTCAGAATTCTGTATCAATTCGAACGCCTTGCCTAGGCTGTGTGACATTCTGCTATGTGATAACATTTGCTCAAATTTGCAATACTGTAGAATACTTTATTTTCGCTTGGAATTTATTTCGCATTTTCGCTGAAGGGATGATTCCGTGAAAATAAAATCTAGCGAATATACTTTTTTTCCTATATTTCACATTAAACTCATCAAAAATCAGTGAAAATAAAATTCCACACAAAACGTCCAAAAAGCCTTTCAGCTAAAATTAATTCCAGCGAAAATAAAGTATTCCACAATACATTTTTTGGAGGAAGTGAATAATAATTCCACATGTTAGTATGCCAAAATAAACCATTGTTACCACAATCCATAATTATTGGACAGAATAACAAGCAGCCTGTCGGCTGAGATAGCTCCGCTGTTAGCAATGCACATTTCAATTAAAGAACTGAAAATATCATTAGGAAATGAACAATATGTATGGTATCAAAGCAATACGACTTGCGGTTTTCAACAGGAACTGAAGATATCATCATAAAATGAACAAATCTGAGAGAGGTTCACATGTAGTACCTATATGTATATATGTAATATCAAAGCAATTGGACTTGCAGTTTTTAACAATAAGTCGAAAATATCACTTTTTACCAAAATTACAAAAATATTTACCAAAATTGGAGAATTGAAGATATCATCATGAAATGAACAAATCTGAGAGAGGTCTACCCAAAGTACAATACAATAAGTATCAAAGCATTCAGACTTATAGTTTTCAAGAAGAAGTCAAAGTTGAAGTCAAGAAGAAGAAGTTGAAACGAACGACGACAGACGGATGCCAACGGACAATCACTAATATGATAAGCTCCACTCGACAAAGTCAACAGCGGAGCTAAAAACCCAGGTTGGTTGTATGTTACACATCACACTGTGGTGATATGGGTTTTTAATCTACCCAGTGTTACATCACAGTGTGGTGAAACACAAGTTATGCATACGATAAAATTATAAATTAATCATTTTATAAAAATATTCGGTAAAATAAGTTTACATTTTCCTCAAAACTTTCTACATACAGCATGGACAATCTCAGGAGAGCAATTCTCACTTGTGTATGTATTTAAATCTCCATTGTATACAATATTCAGTACTTTTGTCAAAACAAACAGCGGCCAAACTAAAAAGCGGAACCAAATAAAATGTTGGTCATTACCACAGACTGTTTTATATCTAAAAAAACAAAATATATTTACGATCCAATTATTGTCAATCCTGTAGACTGTCAGGCTCACTTTACTTCATTTTCCAAAATTCCAGGATGTGTCAAACAGAGAAGCACTATGTTTCTACGTAATACAGCAATTTGTGTCACATTCTTGTATGCAATATGTATTTTTCACTTAAAGATGAAATACATAATTGAGGTTATACAATATACAGCAAACCAATTTACCAGATACGCAGATCTATACATGTATAATGCAACCGCAATATAGTAATGAGGTGAACTGAGAATACAGTGAAACAACAACAGAAAGGAACGATTGTAATTAAAAAATGGAGACATCATTTTAAGTCGGCTTTGATCAAACATGCTTACAATAATAAGTTGATTAAATGAACACGATCAATTGATGTTGGGTAAACTCTGGAGACTAAGTTGACATTAACAGTCAGAATCATTTAAAATGAGAAGAAGAGCCTATAATTGCTCAACTTCAACTACATACATGTATTAAATAATAATGAACTATCTAACAGCATCACATCTATGTGATTGTATCAAGCTGAGAATTGGCTTCTGGTCCAATATGGCACAGTAGAGATTCATTATTAAAAAAACACTGGTACCATTAATATTGAGGTGTTATTTGATAGTACAAGGCAAATAGAACACAATAGTAATCCTGTATTGTATGATATATGTAACATCCAGCAATGTCCAAATATCACATTAATGCATACATGTAAATGTATGTTATATGATATATTGAAACTGCATTATCAAACCAGTTCTAGAAAGATGTACCATATTTAAAATACAAACTCTTGAGCATATTAAACCCTGGTCTATAAATCTCCGAAAACGAAATTTAATTTTGAAAAGTACACGTGTACACAGGTGATCACCTGAAAGCATAAAAGAGGCAATGAAGAAAGTTACCCAAGGCATATTGTAAAGTCACAAAGTGGATTACAGAAGAAAACAAATACTGCACAGATCAGGCAAGAATGAGCAAGACCACAAAAGTTTTTTTTTTTTTTATTCCAGTAATTCCGGAACATCTGAGAGCAGTACCTCACCCACCACAAATAATAAATGGATGCACCCTATATGTAGGTACTCTGACATAGTGTAAAGTGTTTTCTTTTCTTGAATTGAAAACAAGACAGGCCATTCATGGCCAGCTGGAAACAAGGTTTTCTTTCCATTGTTTAACGACAATAGACAACAATGTCCAAGTGGCTACTGTGGTATTTTTATGAGGACGACACGCACCCAACTGTGCAAACTTTTGAATTCTTTTTTGCAAAAAGAAACACATACATCAACTACGAGTGTCCCAAAATGTCATGAGATAACAAAACTGAAGTTAATAATCAGACAGTGGCATGTTTTAATGAAAGTGAAGTACTTGGTACCAGGTACAATTGCACAAGGAATGCCAATCAGCATATTTGCATATGAGAAAATAACAGAATTCAATGTTATTATTGCAGGGCTATATGTCACTCATGATCATTTCTCTCTCCATCCGTGACGCCTAATAAGCCAAGCAACTATTACACTTGCCTATATGCACTTTGAGTTGAGTTGTTTGGGGATATTGAAGAGAACATAGAATGAACCTATCCACCTGTGGCCACAGTTACTGAATTAATCTAACACTGAAACAATCTCACACTGATACACTAAGAGTTGATGGTACTGTGATTGTATAATCTAGCTTAATAAGTAACAGATGATGAGATGGTGCAAATCTTGAGTACAATTTGAACAACAACAGTCTGGGATAATCAATCAGGCTCTACATGTAAACAGGTAAAAATTTATTGCACCATGATGCAGTGATTTAGCGAACTCCCCGCCCTCTTGCGAAGGTGATTTGTGGAGAATATATAAGCTGTGACAGGCTCGCCACATTTGTTTTAATTGTTCAGTGTAGGTAAGAAAATCATCCTCACAAATTAGGACATTCAGAGTCAACAGTGGATTGGTATATTGTAAAGGTTAAAAGTCTACAATGTACACTGTATGCCTGTACATGTACAACTACGTTGTTGCTATTTTTACATTATTTTAAACAATGACCAAGGACCCATGACTTCAAAAGGCCAATTAGAAAAAAACTGGGCTGTTCTGATACTGCAGCCAACAAACCAAATTTTTTTTTTGGGGGGGGGGGGGCACATGAATTGTAAATATACATAAATCTAAAAAACAGAGCATCCTCCTGCAAGGCTAGATGCAAAATTTAATCATTTATTCAACTTGGTAAAGGGATGGATGTGGACATAGTAAAAATGAGGTAAATCTAAAAGCACTACAAATTCTTGAACTTCTGCTGGCCTAAGGTCAATAAATAAAAATAAAATTGGGGGGTGGAATCTTTAATTTCTTTCTATGGAAACAATGACTTAATGATTTCCCCTCATAGCTTTAAACTCTATTTTGAAATGAAAATACAACAAATTAGTTAAGGGTTTTCTACAGATATTCTAAAAAGTCAGTCTGAGAAAATGACTTTTCAGGATAAGAGTGTTAATTAGTACATTTATGTATGTCCCACCCAGTTATTGTTGGGGGCATACTGGGTACCACAAACCACACATTTATTCTTGTTTGGCCAAAATATATTTGAAAAGCATGCATTGTAATAAATAATGAATTTTGGATTAGAAACCACATTATAAATTTGCTATAACATTGGAAGTACATTTGTAAAAACCAAAAATGTTGCATTCAGAAAATGTTGATTGCAAACTTGTATATGTATGAAGGAAGATGACACCATCACCACTAATTTTGTCCCAACATGACAATTATTTTACTGATATAAATTACAACCACACTCAGTAGGTGTTTGCTAATTGCATATGGGAAAGACATCTCAAATGATTAATGATAGCCGCAAAGGACACAAGGGATATGCAGTAAATAAGGTTCATAATATATATTATAATACATTGGACTTCATATGAAGTCAAGGAAAGAAAGAGTAATATCAAAACTTATCTTACATTGATTTAATATGAATGGATACTGGGCGGTGGTGCGTCCATTAGGAACTCGTAAGGAATTTGAAGAACACAACATGCTGACGCCAGTGTCGATGCTGGAGGTGATGAGATGCTACTCCATAAGCCTAGCACACTGTTGTAAATACAGGCATCAGTGGGGAGGGTGGAGTTGGATGTGTAAGGGTTATCAACGTGACTCTTCCAACCCCCAAATACAAATACAATTCTATCCAAGGTGCAGTATGTGAAGCATGTCCTCTCTGGCAGGCTGGCAAAGTTATGGATCTCCTGTGTCCAACATTTTCTTTCAGTGTTAAAACATAATGCTTTGGTTGCTAAATCAGTCACAAAGATCTTGTCACCTTGGGATTCAACAACAGGGAACTCCCAAGGCTGTCCATCCACAGGAAATGATTGAAGTGTGCACCATTCATCAGTCTCTGTATCATACCGCTCAACTGTTGTAACAGGTTGCCTTGTACCATCTCTTCCCCCAATGGCATAAATATACCTGTCATCAATAGTCACCAAGTGCATCGCATACCGCGGAGTGGACACTGGGGCTACAAATGTCCACTTGTCAAGTTCTGGATCATACTTTTCTACTGATCGTAAAACATTGTCCCACCTGATGCCTCCCATTGCGTAGAGACATCCATTGCATGCAGCCAGTGCGAGGTACTCTCTCGGTGTTTGCATAAATGCTGTGTTAGTCCAGGAATTAGTGACAGGATCATACCTGTGAACTTTATTTGACACAAGTCCATTACTTGAGCCACCTGCTACATACATGCAACTATGAAGAGTAGATGCAGCATGGAATCGTAGTTCATTTGGCAGTCCAGGCAAGGCAGTCCAGCGATCCTCTTCAATGATGTAACCAAATGTTTCAGCCAGGGGACCATTAGTTGACACACCTCCTGTGATCACAACAACATCAGTGAGTCTCCCCTTGCGTGGTTTCAAGACAGGGCTATCACTGCAGTAACTCCGTCTTGTCGTATCAGTCTGATGTTTAGCATCAGCAAAAAGTGCCATACACTTTGGATTTTCTCTAATAAGTTCTTCAACCTCAACGTAGCTCATCAAATACTGGCGATTTAATTGAGGCAACCTCACATGCGAAAGCAGTTCTGGAAAGTACTCTTTCCTACTCGCTAAATCAAACTTGGTCCATTTCAAAACAAGTTCATAGATGCTTTCTTCCTTTTCCACGCGCAGTTTCTCGTCCGTGATCAAGTCGATCAACTGATCGACCGTTAAAGCCATGAGATCGTCATTTCCGTCTGTTATAACGTGCATGAACTGGTTGCGTACGAATTCGCTCGATCTGTTGTACAGTTCACCAAAGCGATACAAATCGGCCAGCTGTTTCACAACAAGGCAGTTCGACGCGTCCATCTTTTTGGACAGAAATTCACAACAGTATTCTCGCAGTGCTGGAATGAGAAAATGGTCAGCCCCGCGGAGTATTGGTTCAACATTGTCCGAACTGATACATATTTCTCCGGTGTAAATGTAATTTAAAATTTCTTCCATTGCATCCGCCGTCGTACACTCTATCGTTGCCATATTCCGAAGTCCCTCTTCCATCCCACTGTAACACATCGTATCAAAATATGGACTCCATGCTGCTAGCACATTGCGGTGCGCTTTGAAAACCTTGTTTTCCACTTGCAGAATCATATCACAATATTTATCGTCCAATCGCTGCTGTTGCAGTTTCTCAAGTATTCGGTTACCTTGGTCATTTTGGGAGAAGTTCATGCTCGCACCATCCTTTGACAGCGCCATTTTGAGAAATGCCACAACGAGGCTGAACCAACGGGGTTTTATGGGAAGGGTGCAGGAAGTTTTTATGCAAATCAGATAAACATAAACATTGCTTATTCTACTAATTCCGGGATAGAAATTGCCATTATTATTACAGAAATCAATCTCCACAAATACAGAATGATTATTAAATTGCTTGGGATAGGTAACATTGCAGTAATTAGGGTAAATAATCAATCAGAAAAGTAGTTTAACTCGGGGGAGTCACTCTCATGTCGCAGTTGTCGCAATCATATTTATGGCCTTTTAATAATGTTATTGTACTTGTTCAAAATGTTAATTTAAAAAAACTGTTAGAAGCAGTAGCATATTGTCCGTCAGTTTTTATCGAGAATGATGAAATCCTATGTATATAAACACCAATAACTTATTTTTTGCGACTACATCTGCGAACGAGGGTCCATGCAAACGTCATCTCCAAAATACGGCGGGAAATAGAAATGGCGTAGAGATGTTTTTACACGTGATTTAAAGGTAAGATGCACATTTCACGTATATTACCTTATTTAATCGCGAATTGAAGATGCTTAATACAAGCACGTGTGAGTAAAATGTAAATAGCTGATACATGTTGTGATCTAAAATCGTGTAAGTGGTAAACTCAACTGTATTTGCATCACAATGTCTCAGTAAGACAGTATTAAATGTCCATATGGGTCAACAATTTGTTGAGTGGTGATCGCTGCCGTGATACACTTAATATTTTGATTATCTGCACACGCCTCAGTGTCCTTGAACAACCTAGGGTTGAAACCATCTCAATACATGTGTATTATTTTGGATATTTTGTTGAGTCTACTTTTGACCTTCGGTGCTTGGTGTTAGTATACAGCATGAAATAAATCAACTCCTTGTGGCTTGTTTACACCTAACTCACTGTATTCTATTTCCGGTCATCTGATTAACCTTCCATGTGGTGTCATTACGTCTTTTGACGTGAAAGCTATGTTTTTGCTATCTTTTCTTGTTTTTGTCTTCACCTCACATGTTTTTCATCATTTAATATGAGTGCTGTGGGTTACTTTCTTTTAGAATAAATTAGATACTAGATTTAATTTTTGGCGAACTCCACAGGGGTTGATAACACGCAATTTATTTACAAGGCTTATTCATGAATTGCAATCAAACAGTATGAAAATGCAATAAAACCACAGCCAAAAAAATATAGTATTTTAATAGTGAAAATATATTCGAAGGGCAAGTAAAGTGCTTTACAATGTATCATTTGATAAGATGCGAGTCAACATAGAGGGCGCCCTGTGGAATTTTTCTCAGAAATTCTGATGCTTCTGGTATGCAGATTAGTACCGGTAGGTTTTTCACATGCTCTTCAAAGTGTTCTTTCACATGATCTTCAAAGTGTTCTTTCACATGCTCTTCAATGTGAAATTAGACATCCTGATGAAAAATTAGCTTATTTAGAGATGATACATCATAATTTCATAAAGTTTACAGGTAGTATATGTTAACGTACAAATATTGACACTGCAGACTCCTAGCTGAATTCAAATACCTTACGTTTACTGACCACGTGGTAATCTTATTTATATTTCAGTTTTATGGTACAAATACACGTAATATTCTCATGTATATGTGACTTGTATAAAACCATTCAAGATGTCTGTGAACGATTGTGGTCTACCACGTTTTCATCTTCGTCGCATTGGTGCAGCAGCAACATTAATTCAAGTACTAGATATATTAGAGTAAGTACAAGTTCATACAGATAATTGAAACTTCTGTCTTCTTCCCAGCCCAAGAGTTTGGATAATTTAATATATAAGTAGTATATTTCACATATCAATATTATCTATTGTTTCTTAATAATTTATGCCTGTCATTTCAGTGGCCATGCATGGTAATACTGCCTTGCTTCTTAATCCTTTGAACGCTATGTTTTTTCCCACCATAATTCTGATGCAGCTTTTTAGAAATTTTTATATCTTTTTGACTCCCGTGTGCGAAGCACAAAAAGGGAGTCTTTGCAGTTAGTGTGTCTGTCTGTGTGTCTGTGTGTCTGTCTGTGTGTGTGTGTGTCTGTTCCATCGATATCTCAAGAACCAATGTTCGGATTTCAATGAAACTTGGTATATAGCTTGTCTGGGGCAATGCGCAGATTTGATTAGTTTTTGGTTGACATCCATGCATATTAATGAGCTCATCTGCATAATAATGTGTGAATTTTAAGCTAGTTCAGTTATATCTCAAAAAGCATTAAAACGATTTTTATGTAACTTGATAAGAATGTTACTAATGATTGGCTGCTGCAATTCATTGTTGCATTTTACATTTTAATTAAAATTTAGCATTTTTTATGTATTTTTTTGT